CCAAAGAGAAATTCATTTAAAACTAGTTTCAGACTACAAAGTAAACATCAATTTACTTCAAAAATGCTTATATATGTGAAGAAATAAATACTAAAAATTTTTTAGGAAGCATTTCTTTATTCTAAACCATGCCACGTTAAGAGCATATATATTATTAACATAACGGAGAACACTTTGATAATATTTGTAATTTTTTTTTTTTTTTTTCAATGAGCAATTCATTTAAATCTTGTTTCAGATTTGAAAGTGCGAGTCATTTTTTTTTTTCAAAATTACAAACATGTTTCAAGAACCAATACCAATATGTTCTAAAAACTTTTAAGAAGGATTTGTTTACTCAGGGTATGAGCATATTTATCGATAACATAATGGAGGTCAACTTAGCGAATTTTTTAATTTTTCGAAATAAGAAATTTTATTTTAAACTTATTTTATATGAAAAGTAAGTGTCTCATTTTTCAAAAATACCCTTAAATGTGAAGAAATAAATACTCAAAATTTCGAAAAAGCATTTGTTTAGTATAAACCATGCTATGTAAAGAGCATATACACCGTAGAACCATTACATTATGACCACCCTTCATCTATAACAATGGGCTCGCCCAGGTTTTCATGGTTTCTCGCCCAGGAACAATGTTTTCATGGGGCACATTAGGACCCATAATCCTCATAGAACAATCCCTGACGTCTGTAAGCTACTTGAACATATACTTCAAGAGGGACCACCCATTCATGGCAACGGTTTTTCCTGCGGGGGATGGTGTTTACCAACAGGATAATGAACCACGTCATAAGGGTCGAATCGCCGAGGAACATTCCAGTGACTTTCAAGTCATGTCTTGGCCCCCAAATTCACCTGACCTTAATCCAATAGAGCATTTGTGGTCCTACTTGGGATACCAAATTCGTGCTGCCACGCTACCCCCTCACAATGAGAGGGAATTGCGGGACCAGTTGGTGAGCGCTTGGGACCAGATACCTCAGACTACCTATCAGCACCTTGTGGAATCAATGCCACGGCGGGTGCTAGCAGTTTTGAGGACTAAAGGTGGTCCTACATGTTATTAGCAGGGTGGTCATAATGTAATGGCTCTTTGGTGTATATAGTAACATAATGGATTATTTATTTATTTATTTTTGCAAATTTTTTAAAAAATTTTGTAATAGCGAAATAAATTTAAACTTGTTTCAGATTATAAAGTGAGCGTCAAGGTTTTTCAAAAATACCCATATGTGTCAAGAAATAAGTACATAAAATGTTTAAGAAGTAAGTTTTTGTCCAAACAATGCTACGTTATGAGCCTACATATAAAAATAAAGTAGGACATTTTTCGAATTTTTTATAATTTTTTGCAATGAGAATTTCATTTGAAACTTGTTTCTGATTAAAAAGTTATCGTCAAATTTTTCAAATATACCCATATTTGTAAAGAAATAAATATACAAATTTTTTTAAGATGCATTTGTTTAGTTCAAATCATGCTACGTAAAGAGCCACGCTACAGTCATCCCTACTAAGAGCTTATCAGCGAAATTAAACTCTCATTCATACTGAGGGAGTCGGGTGTAGCGCTCATCCTAAAGACAAGATCCGAAGTGGGCTAAAGCCCCTCACCCCACTTTTAGGATTGATGACCTCTCTTACTATAGTGCTACTGGATGAGCGCTTCAACCCACTTCGGATCGATGACCTCTCGTCTATAGGATGAACGCTACACCCGATTTCCTCAATATGGATGAGAGTTCAACCTCACTGATAAGCTCTTAGTAGGTATGACGATAGCATGACTCAATACGTATTTGAACTAAACAAATTGATTTGAACAAAACAAATGCTTCTTAAACATTTTAAGTATTTATTTCTTTACAAATATGTATATATTTGAAAAATTTGACGTGAACTTTTTAATCGGAAACAAGATTAAAATTATTTCCTCACTGCAAAACATTTTAAAAAAATTCGCAAATGGTCCTGCATAACATTAATTATACACTAAGTGCCCTCCATTATGTTAACTATATACACTCCATAACAAAAAAATCGACGCACCAAGAAGGAGTTGTCCGATTGAAACGAAAATTGGTGGATATCAAGACAATGTACAGAGTAGTAAATGATTAAAATTTCAGAATAATTGAGTAATTTATTGCAGAGTTACAGTAACAAGTTCAATAAGGTGCTGACCCGCCTCTAGCCTGGATACAAGCTGCCACACGGCGTGGCATAGACCAATAAAGGTCCCGGATGGTCTCTTGCGGTATTTCCTGCCAAATTCGATCCAATTGTCGAACGAGGTCATCAACATTCCGTGCCAGATGCAATCGCCTTCCCATCATATCCCAGACATGCTCGATGGGAGAGAGATCTGGTGATCTGGCAGGCCAAGGAAGAGTTTGACAAGCTTGCAGAAAGTTCATAGCAACACGTGCGGTATGTGGTCTGGCATTGTCCTGCTGAAAAACCAGCCCAGGGCACTCCAAAAGGAACGGTAGCAAAACAGATCTTAGGATATCGTCGACCTACCGCTGTGCAGTAAGTGTACGTCTAATGACGACCAAAGGGGTCCGGCTGTCAAAGGAAATGGCACCCCAGACCATAATGCCTTGTTGAGGGCCGGTGTGGAGTGCAATAGGGAAGGCAGGATCCCCCCTCTGCCCTGTGCGTCTCCAAACACGTCTTCGATGATCGTCAGGACACAGTTGGAAGCGGGATTCGTCGTTAAACACTATGCGTCACCAGTCGGCATCATTTCAGCCTGATCGAGCGTCGATTTTGCGCGTCTTAGTGCGTTCTTGGTGCGTCGAATTTTTTGTTATAGAGTGTATATGCTCTTAATGTAGCATGGGTTAGACTAAAAAATTATTCTTAAAAATTTTGAGTATTTATTTCTTATAATCTATGGGGATTTCGTAAGAATTAGACGCTTACTCTGTAATCTGAAACAAATTCAAATGAATTCCTCATTGCAAAAAATTACGAAAAATTTGCAATTTATCCTTTGTTATATTAACTATATTAATGATCTTAACCTAACATGTTTTGTACTAAAAAAAATGCTTCTTAAAAACTTTTGGTATTCATTTCTTCACATCTATGTGTATTTGAGAAAAATTTGATGTTTACTTTGTAATCTAAATCAAGTTTCAAATAAATTCCAAAAATTATTAAAAATTCTCAAAATGAACTCCATTATGTTAATTATATATATGCTCATGGTTAGGTCTTAGCAAATGTTTCTTAAAAAATTGAGTATTTATTTCTTCATAACTAGGGTTATTTTGGAGAAATTTATCTCGTATGTTTTATCTGGAACAAGTTTCAAATGAATTATTCATTTTAAAAAATTATAAAAATTTCACAAAATGACCTCCATTATTATTTATATTTATGCTCATACCCTGAGTAAGCAAATTCTTAAAAGTTTTTAGAACTTATTTCATGAAACATATTGGTATTTTTGAAAAAAAAGAGAAGAAAAAAAAAGACACGCAAGTGCCCTCCATTATGTTAACCATATACATGCTCTTAACTTGGCATGGTCAAGATGGTGACCTGGCGAAGAAAGCCTCTAATGTTTAAGAAATACCCATAGATGGGAAGAAATAGATACTCAAAAATTTTAAGAAGCACTTGCTTAGTTCATACCATGATGCATAGGTATAGTTATAAAAATGGAAGACATTTTGCGAAATTTTCCTAATTTTTTGCAATGAGGAATTCTTTTACAACTTTTTTCTGATTATAAAGTGAGAGTCAACTTTTTCAAAAATACCCACAAATGTAAAGAAATAAATACTCAAAATTTTTAAGAAGCAATTATTTATTTCAAGCAATGCTACGTTAAAAGCATGCCTAAAATTGACATAATGAAGCTTTTTTTTTGTAACTTTTTAAAATGAGAAATTCATTCAAAACTTGTTTCAGAATAAAGTAAGCGTCAATTTTTTTTCAAAAATACCCATATATGTGTAGGAATAAATTCTAAAATTTTTTTAAGAAACATTTGTTTAGTCTAAACCATGCCACTTTAAGAGTGTATATATTATTAACATCATTTAGGACACTTCGTGAATTTTTCAAAATTTTTCGCAATAAGTAGTTCATTTGAAACTTGTTTCTGATTTCAAAGTGAGGGTCACTTTTTTCAAAAATATTAATATATTTAAAGAAATACGTATTAAAATTTTTTAAGAAGGATTTGTTTACTCACTGTATGAGCATATTTATCGATAACCTAATGTAGGACAATCGGTGAATTTTTAATAATTTTTTTGCAAAGAGATATTCATTTGAAACTTGTTTCAGATAAAAAGTAAGAGTCAAATTTTTCAAAAAATAGATAGAGATACCTACACTACGCCACTTGCAGGTATCCCAATGTAAAAAAATGAGAGGAAAAATTTGTTATTCTAAAAATTTCTAAAGATAGAGAGCTCTGATAAAAAACCTGTCACTTATTGCATTGCATTATTTATTTATTTATTTAATAGCATTCGTAATTTTTTAGTTTTATTTTATTCTTTACTATTTCAAACCGTTTCCATCTCCAACATCTAAATCGTTTTGCTCTAGTGTGACGCTAACAGTTAAATCTAATAAACTAATCTATTATTTCCTTCGATTTCTTTATTTTAATAAAGTTATTAGCAATAAAGTAATTATATATATATATATATTCGGAACTAATGAGTCCAGAGTTACTAACAATAGTTTTGTTTTGAAATGGGTTTCGATTTTTCCAACGCATCAACGTAATGCACCTTTGCTAACGTATATCTTCTGATTGTTCTCATAAAAATCTCAGAATGCAATAACTTTAACTCCAAAATAATGTCACGATGTCATAAAAGAAAGAATATTTTAAGTATATAAATCATCAAATAAATTTAAACCACAGATTTTAAATCTCAAAACCATATCAATCCAACCATTATAAATTCTTGTTTTTGCGCAGATGAAGGCAGCTTTGAAAGATGGCGCTGCAATCGAATATTTTATTTCTAAAGTAGTTTCGCATCGCAGTTAGCTCGATGAGGACCGGTGCACCATAGCTCCTTGACGAAAACAGTTATATCATATAAACAAACGGGAAAATTTTTACCTGTGAAACTTTATTTCATTTGATTATTTATTATGTTTGTGGATCTTTTTAATCAAAAAGAAATGAATTGATACAATTTGTGATCGTTTAACTATGAGGAAGGATACGATTATTAGCGAGTGAATATTTAGCTGCATTGTATTGTAAATTTTTCATCGCCTGTAGTTCCATATTTGATGTATTTTGTGTAGTTTTGTGGCGATGACTTCGAGAGTTAAAATGGAGAAAATTGACGAAACTAATGTTACTGAAGCCAAAAGGCCAGAAGATGTTATTAAAATGCCCCTAAATGATAACCTTAAGTTTGCTGTTCTTATAGGTTTAGTGGAGGTGGGGCAAGTGTCAAACAAGGAAGTTGTAAACACAGTTCTTCACCTGGTAAGTTGAAAATTTATACAAATATAGTAAATTTATATTCTTTGAATACCTTTCTTTTTATTTATTTACTTCTATTGCGGAATCAAAGTCGTCATTAAGTTATTGTTTATGATCTTTGGTTGAAGTTCATACATGATTTTATTTCAGTATTAAGTCTTCATATCCTATTAAAGTATTTTTCCATTTTTAACATGCCAACAACAAATGTGTTTTAAATGTCCTCTAAATTCTTAAATGAATTATTCAAAACATAGAAATTTTTTGTGTATCTAGAAATATACATGTTTTCATACCTAATCATGGAATTTTTTATATACTACATTTGTTTTATCTACTGCATCTAAATCTTGTCAAAGTTTTATCCACTAGTAATAAGACTTACTATAATATTCATGTTCAGTGTACTCACTTTAAATTGCAAAAGCAATCCTGTTAACAGATGCTTTATTGTTATTGATGATAAGTCAGTTTATTTTGTATTTTCTTTGCTGAATATTCTGATATCTATGCTTGATATTTAAAAAAAAACACATCTTGAGAAAGCCATTGTCTTTCTAATATTAATTTATATCTTTTATCTTTAAAATGAAAGACAAAATAAAATTCACATAAGCGTGACAGGGTGTTGTAAATAAAGTTAAGTATTATGTTTAGTGATTAAAAAAAGGGGAGAAAATATAAATTAAAACTATATTTTATAGTGTCTAATTGCTATTTTACTCACTGTAATAAAGGTGTTAGTCATCCTACATATGTTTGTGTTGGTAAGATTATTATTTAGAGGATCCAGTTCGGATTCGGTCGCCAAGTTTTCGCGTTAATTATAGTATCCCTCATAGAACTTAAAAAGCATAGCAAAATGGGGAAAGGATTTTAAAATTGATTCTATTTTCCTTGAGAAATCCATTATTAATATTTTATGGACACATTGTAAGTACCAATGTACTCAGCAGTGTCCCTGTATTTGGTACAATTAGGTTCCAATACAGGATTGTCTCCTTTATGTGGTATAAGAATATGTAATATACACTAGACACATCAAAGACCCACTTTAACCTGTTTCTATTTTTTCACTGAGAAAATTCGAATAAAAAACTTTATGCATTTTTTCAGCTATATAATTTAGGAATTTATCTTTCATTTTGCTGTTAATTTTATATTTTAAAAATTAAAAATGCTATGTGCAGGATATAAAAAACTGTTATTTAAGTGTCTCAACATGTTTGGATTTTTAAAATGTATCTAAATTAATTTGAAAGTTAGGTATAGAAGTTGTAATTTTAAAACTATTTTCCTTTTTCACTTTGTGAATTAAATTATTTCTGTTATGCCTGAGAAATTTCATAATCAAATTTTAAAATATCTGTATTTTTTTCTATGATTGTACTTATTAGAAAACTATGTAAAGAATTTAGAGTTATTATTTTGAAATTTTATAAGCTTTTCAATCTAAATTCAAATATATATATATATTTGCTTATAAATAAGTTTCATTTCCTACTGCTCATAACAAGTCAAATACTGTGATTTGACTCTTTTAAGGTTTTTTATTTAATTAAAATTATTTATTTCATGCGATTTCACCAATAGTGAGAAAAACAGCTGTAATTAATTAATCAATTATGCATTCAAAGAAAGTGTGCAGTAATTTATCTTTTAATTATGTTGAAAAAATATGATTAATGTAAATATGAAATATTTTATGAGCGTTTTTGTGCAATGTTTAAAGTATTGGAGAGATTTCCGTATCCTGATCTGTGGCAGAATAATCACCAGGTCTTGGCAACTTCTGGGCAGTGGCTCGCAAGAAACTAAAAAAAAAACATCACAGAAAGGAACAAATTTGAAAGGTATAACTCGTAGTTACCCCTGGGCAAACATTACATATTTAAAAATTTTTTTTTTTTGCAAGTTTAAAATCCTTTTAACAAGGCCTTTTGGTGCGACAGATAAGGATACGGAAATATCCTCTTTAACTTCAATTTTTTGAACCAGAAAACCCTGATTTACAACTTGCTTTCAGATTTTGTTGAAAATTGTGTAGTAGAGAAGTAAAAATGTTATGTTAAAAGTTATGTTCTCTACTGAATAATTTTTTAATGGGTTAGGAAACTGGCTTTAGGCTGCAAGTAAGCAACTTTGATTCGATTAATGAAATTTAATGCATTATAAAATTTGTAAATTGCAAATCGTTTGTGGTTGTCTCCCTTTTGCATGGTGGAAACTCAGTGTAGAGACCAAGACCACTTGTAGCGTCAGCAGAGAGGGAGATAAAAATTAATAGATATATGAAGAATTAGAATGCAGAAAGCTTTATCTTTCAGTTAGTTTTTGTGGGGTACATATAGTTTTTTTTATACATGGGTGAGGAGGAGCAAAAAGGTTGTGGGGCCAGCCCTAGAATTGATTTAGATACCTAAATGAAATATGAATTGTATATTTTTTCTTTTTAACTTATAAGTGCTCAGAATTGTATTTTATCAACAGAACATTATTTGCTTTAAGAGAAGTAAAATATAGCATTTGTTGTTGCATAATTCTTCACAATCAAATTTTTGTTTTATATAAATGTGTCTAAATATTATTATTATTATTTTTTTTTGGTAGGGGAGATGGGATGTCTAACGTATTTTTGTGCTATTAAATAAAATAATTAAGGATGTGAGGAAATAGGGTTTTTGTATTTAGTTGTTATAATAGTATCAATTTTGCACAGTTAATTTTTAATGGATAACTGTTCTTATTTAATTGTATTATTTAATAAGAGGGTACCTAGGTAATGATTTAATGTTTTTCTAAAACTTGTTCAATTTTTACCCCAATTTGTTGCATATGGCTTTAAATATACTGTGAAAGCTTAAATGAGTGCCATGTAGTGGCTATTACAACAAGTTTTCAAATCACCTTTAAAATGTTAATTAGTAAAGATACAAAAATTGTTTTTCTTGCTAATAGATAAGCTTAAAATTACTATATAGCTTCTTGTTATTGTGATAATTTTTTTTTGTTTTTGAAAGAAATTTATTTTTTTTCTGTTTAAGTAATTTTATACGAAAAGTCATTTTGTTTATTTCTAGAATCAATAGCATAAAAGTGAATAACAAGCATCATTTCGCCTTATTTTTTCTTACAGTATCAGCCTTTTATGTTTATACAAACATATGTAAGGAATTACCAACTAAAATAAATTCTTAACAAAAGAAAAATTGTTCTGCTATTTTTAGGAATCGAATTGTGCTGCTCACTCAAAAAGAATGCTCCTTTTGTTGACCACATGCCACCCTCTTCTTTTTTGTCAGCTTAATGTTCAAATAAAAGTTCAATGCTATTAATGAAAACAAATGCTCTTGCACCTTGCTTCAGTTTTTCCAAGGTTCTTCAAACATTTTTTCTTACAATTTGATAATTTTAATTCAGAATTAGTTTCTTGTTTGAGTTTTAATGGTAGTAGAAAAAACAGTACCATGGAAAGAAAAACAGAAAGCTCTAGAATCAAAATAAAACTTTTAAATTTTATTTGAATGCAAAAGAAGTATCTTTTCAAAACTTTTAAGAAGCGCAAAAATATGGTTTTCTCACTTAACTGATGTTTATGATTCTGTAATACAAGAATAAAATTGTTACCCCTTAAATATATGTATTTGCTGATAACAACAATTCTGTCTGCAGTTGTAAATTGTTGTTATAAAAGTCTTTTCCAGATATACATTACTTTATTATTGGCTCTTCCTCTGAAGTGGAACATATCGTTTTTGTAAGAAATTCTGCGTTTATTGTACATTCAGCATTCTTCCTAACTGTTTTTGATGATTCCCCACCTTCCCCTTTTTGCAAAAATAACCTTAAAAGCGCTGCCTTTTTATTTTATTTCTTCAGTTCATTTTTGGTTTATTTTGTTATTCATAGTTATTTAACTTTAATTTTTTAATTTCATTCCTTCATTTGATTTTTCTTTTGTTGTCTAGTTATATAGCAAAAATTTGCATGAGATTCGGTCTCAGAGATATTCACATTTGGGAGTGATTTTAAGTTTTACCATTTTTTTTTAATAAATACCTTTTTATTTCAAAATGCACCTTTAAATGTTTATTTTCTCAAAATTTTTAGTTTAAAATGTAAAAAAAAGCTTTATAAAGTTGTTCATCAATTAATCCCTTTTTTTAAAACTTTTTTTTTTGTTTTCTGAAGAAAATTGATACACAAGGCTAACTTTTAGTTAATTTTCAAAAGCTTCAACTTTTTCTGTTATTTTGATAATGAGGGAGAATTACATTTTTAAATATAAACATAAAATAGTAAAAAAGGGTAATTTAAAGATTGATGATTTCGTTATTAAATAATATTACATATTTTGATAAATTTTAATGGTGTTAAGTGATTGCCCTTTCAAAACTCAATGTGCCTTTTCCTGGGAGTAACTGCCTATTTTTATTCCTAGGGAGAACTCTGGTTTATTAATTATATTTTGCTGTTCCTCGTAGTTTTTGAGTTATTTAGGCCAAAAAAGATTGTAAAAAGAGATTGCATAACATTACTCCAATCTATCTAATTTTTATTCCTAAATTAAATTAATTCAAAGAAAAGGGTTTTTATTTTTTTGTTGGAATTTTACATAGTTTTTTTTCTTAAAGTTCTTTTACTTGCTTGCAACCTCAATTTTTGTGGGAATTACTGGAAAAAATTAATAATAAAGCATTTAAGAACAAAGCTCTTTTTATTTTGAACTACAAAGTATCACAAAGCCCTCCCCTTTTATTGTCTTAGACTTTTATTATGTTAGTTATAAGTTCCACATATAATTGTGCTAAATTTGAAAACTAAGTGACATTCTTATATAATTAATATATATTGTCTATTTTTTTGTCTAAAGGTGAGAATGTGGTTTGTATGCTTGAGAGGATTAAGCTTTTATTATCACTTCAGACCTTTCTTTCTCTTACCTAGGTTAGATTCCACCAGAGAATTTTATGGATATCTTCCACCTTTTACCTATCTAAACA